ACGGCGACTGAGGTCTCCATCCACGACGCCTGCACCACTCGAATGCGGCTGCCGTCCTTCAGCCTTGAGGTGTGGCGTTGTGTTGCGTTGCAAGTGAGTTGGTGAGTTGAGGCCGTGGTGTGGCGTATTGATGGGCCGAGGCGGGAATCGGGGGTTGATGGGAGGTGCCGGCACGCACCGGTCGTTTTCAAAGAGCTTGACCCAGTCGCTCGTGACCCGGCCATCCAGCACGATCAGCTCCCTCACCCTCTCTGCAGACGACGCTGGGTAGTGAATTATTATTTTGGGTTAATAATAAATAAATAAATAGAAAATGAATTGAATAAAATTTAGGTAGTGTGCCGTACAGCCAGTGGCGTCCGTGGCCTTCTTCTTGTCCGCCTTTGAGGGGTGTTTGCCGCTCTTCTTCTTGTCCTTCTTGTCCTTCTTTTTGTCCACTTTTTCTTTGGCCTTCTCCTCCTTGGCGCTCTTCTTCGCTGCCTTGTCCTTCTCCATCTTTGTCTTCTTGTTCTTCTCTCGTTGACCTTCGACTGTCAGTCTGACCACAAGGGAGCAGCCTGCCCCAATCAGCTTCACACAGCCTTGTTCGCCGTATTTGTTTTGGTGTTTCTATTATTTGTAGACATAGAAATAAAAAGGAAAATGGTGGAAAATGGGGCAGGCACTCAGAGCCACTCAGATGAAGAAGGTGGGCATTACAGGAGCTACCGGGCGGTTGGCGACAATCCTCATTCGCCAACTGAAGGATGAATACCAACTGAAGCTGTTCTCTTTTGAGAAGCCCGAGTGTACGCTCAGGCCAGGGAGGAGTTTTGGTGCTGCCCCACCCAACGCAAACACTAACTTGGCCACCTGTGCTCCCCTCCCACAGGCACCGACGCTGAAACGCTGCAGACCGAAAAGGAGACCTACGACACCACTGTCGTCGACCTCAGCGACCGCGACCAAGTCAAGGGTACCTCATCCATATAACTTCTATCTGCCCCTGCTCGTCTCACTGCCGCTGGTCAGGTCTGTTCGAGGGCTTGGACGTCGTGATCCACCTCGCGGCCTACTCTCTGGCCGTGCCCTTCCCTGAGCAAGGTAAGTCCCAACGCCACAACATGGACATCAGGGTGAGAGCTAGCGTTGGGTACACTTGATTGTTGATTGTTGTATTTGAGTTGGGGTGGCGCGAAGGCCGGTGAAAGAAATTGGGCGCCGAGGTCCGGGTGAGGGAGCCTCTTCTAGCACCACGCTCTGCTAACTGGATGGGCAGTTGGCAATCAGCAAAGGGCACGAGCATACCTCTAAACGGTCACAGCTGCGTGCATGTTTGCCCCAAGCGCAAGGATGATGATCCACCTTGCCTGCCTAGGGGCCTTATATACCCACTCCTGTGTTGGCGATGTTGGGGTTGTGAAGATTCTCTGCTTTGTGGTCAGAACGTTCTTCGTTCATCAACTTTTCTTGGCGTTGGTCGGAATTCAGTTCTTGAGTTGCGGTCATGCGCTAACGCAACATTGCACAGGACCGCACGTGGTGTTCAAGAACAACGTGGAGGCGACTTACCATGTCCTGGAGGAGTGCGTACGCGCCAACGTGAAGCGGTATCGTAACCAATCTATAGCACCCGTATTTTGGCCTCTGCTCACGACGCAGTGGAGGACAGATTCATCTTCGCCTCGACCAACCACACGCAAAATGGGTCCATGTGTGCCGATCCTGCCAAGCCTGGTACAAGACTCACTCGATGGGACCAGCGACTTGATGATCTTATCAGTCTTGTTTCCACCACATCAGAATCGCTGGACGTGGCCCGCATCAAGCCCGGAACAGTTCGTCTTGGAGTATGAAGGCGCTCCCATTCGCTCTCTGATTGCCCTTTTGCGAAAGCTCGCCATTGACGTGTGCTACTTTCATGTTTTTTAGGACTTTGTCTTCCCTGACTCGCTCTATGCCGTGTCCAAGACCTGCGGCGAAGACCTGTGCAAGCTCTTCTCGCTCCACAAGCGCATCGCGACGGTGGTGTTCCGCATCGGATGGATCAGATTGAACGGTACACTGTTGCCATTCACCAGTGATCAAAGGCTATTAGCTTACTTATTGTAACAGATGATCCCTCCGACTTGAAGGGCACTATCAACGAAGCTTACATGCGGGCAATGTACCTGTCGCAGCGCGACGCCGGTAACTTCTTCAGGAAGGTACACACAAGGCCAGCCTCTGTGTGCCATCAGGCCACTAACCCCAGAGTCTATCGCGCCTAGGCGATTGAGGGCGAGATGAAGCCTGCCGCTAGTGGCATTCCCTTCATGATCGCCTACGCCGTCAGCAACAACGACGCCAGGGTCTACGACCTCGAGGAGACCATCGCCACCCTCGGCTATGTCCCTCAAGACAACTCTGAGGCCTACTTCCAGTAGCCGCCCACACCTTGATCTGGAGTCAACAAGGTTTGGTGAAGTGGGGAAAGAGAAGGGAAAATAACAGGTGTTAAAGTCTCCGCCACCAGCAGCTGCTGGGTGTGCCGCTCGCTGGCGTGGCTCAAACAACAAGTTGGGGCACTAGCGACTCGCTTGATCCAAAACACGACCAGATGGATGATCAAGCGAAGCATCGCGGCATAGAGCTGAAAGGGCTGGTGGCGGTGACTGCGGCGCGGGGGGCGCTGGACGTGAAGGCGCTGTGGGCGCGGGTGGTGGCGCTGGTGCGAGCCCACCCGTACGTGGCTGGGGCGACCACG